AAAAAAAAAAAAAAAAAAAAAAAATATTTTATTATTTTTTAATTTTTATTTTCTTCTTCTTTTGTACTTTTTTTCTTTTCTTGGTTGTTTTTTTATTTAATAGATTTGAAAAGAATAAATTTTCTTGGTTGATGTGGTTTTTTCTATTTTCTTATGTATTTATTTAATGGAAGATGATTTTGAATTTTTTGAAAATTTAAAAGTATTTATTAGAGAAAATATAATATATTTTTTTTATTAATTTAACCCAATAAAATAATATTTTAGCTTAGGCATCTAATTTTCAATTAATATTTTCTTAATTTTTGATTATCAAACTTTAAATTCTCCTGGTGAATATCAAACACCTTCTAGGAAAATTAAATAAATTGTTTTTACATAATAAAATAAACTGAAAATAATTACCACAAAAATGAGCATTTTATTTATTTATTTATTTTTATATTTATTGGTAGAAAAGGTTTTAAAATTGACCAAATATATTAAATATTTTTCTAAATTTTTTAAGTCCATCGATCTTTATATTTTTATATAAAATTTAATTAATTGACGATACATTTATATTTGATAGTCAGCTGATTGTACTTTAAAATTGATAGCTTATCGACAACGATGCATCTATGTTTCATACATATTAAGTGAATCACATACTAAAACCATTTGTAAATACAACACAATATCGTACTAGTCCATTGGCTACTCTACTTACTGGGAATGAAATTTGGTATATGATGAATGAGACTCCCGCTTATGACATATGAGATGTGGATGATGGAGCTGCTTGTTGTTAGTCTTTTCACGCGAACGCAGAATCCATTTTGACCGTGGAAGCAGGTTGCAGACCATGCTCTTGCCTTTAGGCCTGTTCACTACCAATATCTCGGGATATTTGGACACCCACCTAGCACCCGCTCCACTTACACAATTAGCTGAAAAGTTCTTGATGTCTAATAAAAATATTAGTCAAATGATATGCTTATATTTAAACACAAAAGAAGGTTGATCATTCTTTCATACACTGCTAATATATTCAAGATATTAATAAAAGGTTATATATTTTTTCTCGTATGAATGTTTATTAATTTTTTATATGGGGTTGATTTATTCAAAATATTATTAATAAAATGACACGTTTCAAGTCTTAAGCCGTGCGAGATTAAAACGTGCAAAAAGTAAAAATGTTCAAGTTTATGAGAGATAGATATGTATTAACAACTGGGGTCGTCTATTAGTGTTAGATGCACCACTAATAGATTTCACATTGAGGTCTATATATATAATTTTAAATGATTCTAGTGAGCAGTAAAGAACGTAGCTAAATTGTCTGAACTCGAGCTAACCTAATGATAAGAAGGGCTCGTAAGTTATACTAACCTAAAAGATCGGAGATGTTTAGAAGTGTTAGATGATTTGATTTAAATACGAAAGTTATATATACATAATGAATGATTTTGCTCGTCTAGTTTTTGTCTATGTTTAGAGGCCATTATGAAAAGCTAATTTATCTTTCTAAAAACCTAATATCTCGAGAGGAACAATACTAAGACTTGAGTTTCGAAGAAAATGGGCCTATAACACCATATATATATATATGGGCTTAAGACTGAAACCCTAATTTTTAAACCGTAATTGTGTCAGCACGCGGTGAAAAAACTGAGTTACGAACGATATTTTTCGTCTATATTGTGAGAAACGCTCAAATTTGATGATCCTGAACGCATAATATGCAACCAACACCCAAAAATGGTTTTGCTCTAATCCAGTTTTTGATTTGATGAAAGTCGGGGTACGGTCGAGGTCGACGACTTCATTACTCGACCTCGTCAATTTATTCTGAAAGGAATATTTTTAAAAAATATATATAATTATGAATTAAAAAAAAAAAATAAGGAAGTGAAACGTGGTTAATTGTGGACCAACTTTATTTTTCAAAACAAAAGGGAAAAAGAACCAAAAAAAATTATAAATATAATTAAGGTTAAATTAAAAAAATTATAATTTAGTCCTAGTTAAAATTTTGATTTTTTAATAATTTTATAAAACTCATAAATAATATTTGACGGTGGGATAAAGTTAATCATAAATTATTTGTATCATATGGAGTATATTTTATGATTGGATTAAACTATAAGGATTAATTTTAATATTTAAAAAAATGGGAAGAGAAATTTGTAATTTAATTTGGTTGTATGTATATATATTAATGGAGTAATGTGTATCTGAGAAACGTATGATATGAGTGATATTACCTTTTTTATTCCACTCGGACGCCATAGAAGGCAAACCTTCTCTTCTTTCTTCTTCTTCAGATCTCCTCTGTTCTTAAAATGCCTCTCCATATCCAAAACCTTCGTCAGCCGTCTTCATCTCTCTCCTAATTTGATTTCAATTCCATTTTCAGTTTGTTTGGAGTTGCTGTTGTTTTTGTTTGAATTTGATTCGATTCTGTTATTGTTCTGATCTTCTCCTCCTCTGTCGCGGAATGAGGTGCAAGAAGCATCTCTCCGACGCCACAAGCGCCGTTGGAGTCTGCAGCACGTGTCTTCGGGAGCGGTTACTTTCTCTCATGGAGGCTCAGGCTAGGGCGGATGCTCACCAACGGCAGTTATCTCGTCTTCGTGCCTGCTCGTTGGCGGAGGATCTTTCGAGGAAGCCTGATACTCTTCTGCCGCCGCCGTTGGTGTTTCCGCGATCTGTTTCTCCATATGTCTCGCGGCGGAAGGTTGAGGACTCTTCGTGGAGCTTTGTGAGTCCGTTGGATGATCGACATCGTCGATTTCATCACCGCTTCTATAGTACTCCGCAGGTCGGACCTACTTACTACGGCGGCGGTATTTCTACTTCTACTTTTGTTACTACTGGCTCTGTTAGTAGAAAACAGAGGAGTAGATTTTCGTTTTGGTCTAGTCTTTTCAGGTCCAGATCCGAGAAATTGGATACCGTTCCTCGTGATTCTTCTTGTGAACCTGCTTCCTCTTCGTCTTCATCTTGGATTTCGTCGATTTTCTCCGGAAGGAAAAGGAAGAAACAATCGAAGTTTTGCACGATTGAAGAAACAATTGATCAGAGGAAGAAGCCTCCACAGTCGCGATTCTTCTCTCGAGGAATGTCGCCGGCCGCAGGAGCGAGCGAGGCGGACGGAGATTATGACGATCGCCGCGACGGATCACAGTTGGCGAGTGGTTACTCCTCTGAGTCCTCGAAATGGAAACCGTCTCCAATTGCGTCTCATGGATCAACGGCGAGACGAGGGAGACAAGGATTGAGTCGGAACGTTTCGAGTCTCGCATTTTGCTTGAGTCCACTGGTGAGAGCTAGCCCTAACCACCTCCACTGGAACCAGAAAGGACTGTCACCAGAATTGGCGTACTCCGGCGAAGTTAGGGTTCAGACGAAGCCTCATCTCTCCGAAGCGGCGTCGTTTAGCGCGAACCGGTCTCGAAAACTTGCGGATTTTGGAAGAGTCAATACCAACCGTTGATTTCTAAGACCGTTGACATATCAAAATAGACGGTGCTGATTTGATCTCTCTCTCTCTCTCTCTCACACACAAAAGAGAAAAAAAACCTACAATTACGGTTTTGCCCTCCCTCTCTACACCAATTGTTTATCTATCTTCAGCTATTCCTCAGCGTAAAAGCTGAAAGGAAAAAAAAAAAAAAAAACGAAGGATCAAAATAGTAAAAAAAAAAAAAAAGAATGAAAGATAGAAAGACAAAAAAAAATTAAATTTGTTGTTATTTCTGTATATTAATTAATTAATGTTATTTACACAGAAATGAAAATGATTTATCGGTTAATATTCGGATTTAAATTGGAATCTGTTTTTTTTCCTTTCTAATCTTTTTAAATTTATTTATTGATTCGAATATTTTAAATATTTAATAACAAAATTAAATGCTGGTCGTCAATTGGCTCGTGGTTGGATCCGGTAGTTGAAGATTTGACGAGTTGATGTGGCGGCGCCACGTATACGATTACAAAGTTTTGTAGAGAAATATATTCGTTTAAATGAGGTTAAATTTATTTGTGGCTGCACCACTTTCAACTCCGATTACTTATAGTTGCTAACTTCATGGTTTTAAAACACGGTTACTATGAAGAGATTCTCTCCAATCAATGTAGAATTTCACAATCCACCTTCTTGGAGGCTCAGTGTTCTCGCTGACACATCGTTCGGTGTCTGACTTTGATATTATTTGTAACAGTCCAAACCCACCACTAGCAAATATTGTTCGCTTTACTTCGTTACGTATCGCTGTCAGCCTCACGATTCTAAAACGCGTATACTGGAGAGAGGTTTCCACATCCTTATAAGAAATGTTACGTTTTCCCCTCCAATCGAAGTGAGATTTCACAAAAAATTGATATAATTTTGGTTTTAAAAACTCCAACCAGTTTTTGGAGTTATTTATTAGTATTATTAATAAACATAATTCAAATATATTTCAATCTAAGACAAGTTTATTCTTGAATTTATCTAAATCTAAAATTTTCTCATTATTTCCATGTATACAACAATTTTACGCACAAACTAATAAGATCAACAAGAGCGGAAAATTTTTATAATTCTCAATATTGGTTGAATTCTACATATTTCTTGGCCAACTTATGTTTAATAGAGAGCTTAAAATTGTCGGTTCAAATGATTAAAACATTAATAACCTTATAATTTCTGATATGTCTGTATTCTCTTACTGGAATAGTAACATCTTACGCAAAAAGTCAACGTGAATCGGATACGGTGGTGGTGGCGGCGGCCTTGGGTGGTTGGTGGAGCAACCACCACACAGGGGAGTTCAAAAAGGGGAAGAGTGGCGGTGGGGTCAAGACGAATCTCCCAATCTCATTTCACTCCTTTTTTTTCTTCTATTCCATGTCTGATTTTGCCTTGGATTTTAGCAAAAGATTCAATGCTGTTTAGGATTCTTTTTTAAAAAAACGGATATATTAGAAACCTTTTAACCGACCTGATATGATCTATCAATGAATGTTTGAAAATGATTAGAAGTAGCTATTACATTTCGAATGACTTCTCGTAATTGCTATATACGTGTTCTTAATAAAGAGTTGAAAACTATACTATTGGTATGCGTCGGAGAGAGATTTTACTATTATTATAATTGTTGGATCCAAAGTTTCGAAACCCATTAGATAATAATAGTTCGATTTTTCTTTTCATGTATTGAATATTATTAAAAATAAAAGTACTTTTGTTGTTTTCCATTCAAATATTTCTAATGGTTCAAAATTTTAAAATAACTTTTTTCAGCTTTAACGGAAACAAATAATTTATCTTTTGTTTGAATTTCAAAAAAATAATAATAATAATAATAATAATAAATAAATAATCTTTTTTACCCTTTTGAGCGGTTTGTTGTTTAACTTAAAGTCACTCTCAAAAAAGATGTTCTTTGGATTTTTTTTAAAAAAAAAATTAGACGTTGTAGTTGTGATGATTTTAGAATCCATTTTGTTTATAAAAGAATCTTGTTTGGTAACGATTCAAAGTCGAGAATTGATTGAATAGTTGAATTCGTTGATCCGAAAAATTTGATCAACTCGACGCAATTCTACTCATACGGTTTGGGTCGGATTATGAATTTATTTTATGTATTGAGTTAATTTATGGATTTTCGTGAAACTAGATATGTAACAGCTCAATCTAACCTAATCCAACCCACGAACACTCTTAGAGCATATCTCTTGACCTTTCGAGCTATGCTTAAGCTAATTTTAAAAAAAAATATTTTTTGAATTTTTTAAACAAAAATATATACGACGAAAACATGTTTATTGTCAAGGATAGTTGACCGACGAAAACATGCTTATTCAGATGCTGACTGGGCTGGTTGTCCCCGATACTCGTCGTTCTACATCCGGCTATTCTATTTATCTTGGTAACAATTTTGTTTCTTGGAGTGCCAAAAAGCAACCTACTGTCTCATGCTCCAACTGTGAATCTGAGTATCGTGCTCTTGCCACGACTACTGTTGAACTTCTTTGAGTTACGCATCTTTTGCATGACCTCAAGATCCCTATTTCACAGCCACCCTTATTACTCTTATGTGACAACAAAAGTGCTATTTTTTTTTTTTTTTTGAGCTCTAATCCCGTTTCTCACAAGTAAACCAAACATGTTGAACTAGATTATCATTCCCTATGAGAACTTGTTATCTCCGGCAAACTTCACACACAATATGTACCTTCCCATCTCCAAGTTGCTAACATTTTCACAAAAAGTATTTCTCGACCTCTCTTCGAATTTTTCAGAACCAAACTTCACGTTCATTCAAATCCGACGCTCAGCTTGCGCGGGTGTTAAGGGTAGTTGACCGTTTATTATACCTTACATTATGGCTTACCATATTTTCCTTTTTATTAAACGCAAATATATCGCACATTTATTATTCTTTTTTTTTATTGTTCTTTCCATATTATTTGTAATTTACCATATTTCTCTATTCGGTAAATGATTATAAATAGAAAACTTTCACCACCATTTGGATGTTGTGGTTTCCGCAAACATTTTCATTTACACGTCCATATTTTTTATTTATCAACTATGAAGATTCAACATTGCATATATATATAGAGAGAGAGAAATGAGTATACAAATGCATGTGAAGAATTGAATAAGAATGAAATGAACATATTTCTACCACATTTAATAGCAACAATACAACACACTAATATATATGGCTAACCTATTCTTCTTCTCCACCCATCTCTCTTTTTTCAACCATTGCATTCAATTCCTCCTTTGCTTTTCTTCAATGTTCCTTACGCGAACAATTTGTTATTCAAAATCGTCCTTGCGTAATTGGAAAGTCGTGCCTGTTGACCAGCACGGATCTTTTGTTAACTAGCGATGACTTATACGAAGAAATGAAAAATCGTCTAGTGTTGATTCAGTGGTCAATTAAATGAGTTTAAGTTTTGATGGTTACCCACTTAAAATTTAATGTCGTCGTTTGGTGATCTTAACAATCAAATGTAATAGGGTCAAATAACTTGGTCCGATCAATTAGTTGTGAGATCTCACATCGGTTCGAGAGGGGGACAAAACATTTCACATAAGAGTGTGAAAACCTCTTCCCAGTAGATGCAGTTTAAAACCATGAGACTGCAGCGATACGTAACTGGTCAAAATGGACAATATCTGTTAGTGGTGGGCTTGAACGATTATATAGATGAGTTTAAAAAAATGACGAGTAGGATTGAATTTTGGTGTGGAACCATTGGACTTGGGTCGTATTTGTATTTATTGCCATTTGATGCTATGTTTATGTTACCTCCACTTAATACTAACGAAATCATGTGCTTCATCATAACGTCATTCTCCATTTAAAAGATTCAATTAGGAGTTTTCGTAGTTTGTGAGATATTGTTTAGACTGAACTTAATTGTTTAGATTAAACATTTTTTCAACTTAAACGACTCATCTTAAATAATGATAACAATCCAATCCAAGTATAAAGTTTTTTCAGATGGTTTATTCAAAATTTTGCTTTTAATAAACATAAAATGTTAGTTCATATTTGTTGAACATAACCTTATGGTAAAAGCATTCACACTTTTTATTAAAACCAATCAAGAAGATATTATAAAATACTTTGCAGGAATTGCATGGGGATGAATAACTAGGGTATTTATAGAAGAGGATAGACAATGTATACCAATTTTTGGGTGGATAGTAATTCAGAGTTCGTGATGTTTTTTTAATGTATTTTAAAGCTTATTTACATAATGGCTAATTATGAAGGTAAATTATACATAATGGCTAATTATGGTCATAAAATACGAAAGTTACGAGAGGAAGGTTAAGGATTTTCATTTTCATTTTAAGCTATATAAAGTAATGTATGTTATTTTTGTAAAATAGACTTGAGAAATGTAGTAAAAGAAGCCTTTGTGATTTCTTTTAGCCAATGACTAAGCTTTTTGCAATTTTATGTAGTTTAGATTGCATGCTTAGAATCATTCAAGCTTACATTTTTTTGCCTTAGATATTTGATCGACAAGGTAATCTGAATCTTACTTCCCTTAAAATGATTTCTTAGCATTTGGTATCAGAGCTTTTCCATCAAGTTGATTCCTTATCATTTGGTATCATAAACGAGAGAGTAATTAATGGCTCAACCACTATTCTCTTCCTTAACCAATTGCCCACAACTAATGAAAAGAGAGTTTAGGGAGGAATGTGTTCGAAGTCATGTGATCACATACCCAACATTTAACTTGTCGGATATTAGATCTTAGGTAGATAACCACCATAACTTGAATCAATTTTTTTTCAAGCTTTTCATTATTCATACAACCGTTTCTTTCCACAAGACGGATCCATGATAGTTCCAAATACCATAAACAACAACCTCAAATATTGTCCGATAAAAAAATATCTCAAAACATTGAAATATAGAAGCAGATAACAATGTTATTCTTATCTATTCGTACTGTAAATGTTTGATTAATCCACCA